TATTTTGTGTTAATAATGCATAAATGTAATTTTTTTTGGTCATAATAACATTTTATGACTATGAATGAAAAAATTATTATTGGTATTCTTCATTGCAAAGATTGTGTGCTATCGCTTGCGATCAATATTCTTTTGTAATTAAATATTTGTGGTTGTTTTTGCTGAGACTTTGTAATTGTAACTTTACTTTGCTATGCGATTTATTTATAAAGATAATTAATATTAACTATTATATTGAACTCACAATAAATGTAAAATATGAATCTAACAAGCTTGTTTTAAAAACTTTTCTCTTATTCTAATTTTAAAACATTTCTTTTGATGATACAATTAATTACACAATGGTGTAAGGGTTCAGGGGCAGATTTTATCACTCGCCAAGAAGGGGGCTAAAAAAGTCCAAAAAAAAAAAAAGGTCTCCATATTTTCATTTATAACTAACTTTCTTTTTTGATTTTTTGTACTTTAGTGTGATAATCAAGTTCATATACGTATAATTACGTATAATAGTCAATTTCCTTCATCAATATAATAGTCTGATTCTGTATAATAGACAATTAATAGTATAATAGAAAATAATATTTCAGAAAAAACTTCCAAAGGGGGGTGGGGCTATTACCCACATGGCCCTCCCCTAAAATACACTATTGTAAGGGTTTTTCCATAAAGGACATCAAGCAGAATTAAAATAATAATTAGAAGTAAAAGATCATTGGCTTTCTTCTGCAAGGATTTTCATTGAATGTAAATCACTCCATTACTTTAAAAACCGTCCTTTAATGCCCAGCAGTGAAAAAAATATATTCAAAAGAATTCTCTTGAAATTTTAGTGGCAATGGTATATTAAGATTTAAATAAACCAAATGTAAAATTCTTAATAATAATAATTAATATACAATGATAAAAATAATGTAAAAATATATACTTCTTGGAAATCAAAGTTTAGTTTGTCGTGTCATTGTGAAACCACTTTTAATTTTGTGTTGATTTCATATTCATCTTTAACAAATGTTGCAAATGTTTTTTAATTTTACTTTTGGCGCTGTCCAATCAATGTATGCAGCGCTGAAGTGGAGTAGAAGAGGAAAGAATATAAGAAAAGGACCTTACACGTTTCCGAAACACATTTTAATCTTAGGGGGGATGGGGGGTATTGAGAAATAATTTGAGAAATTCCCATATTTGTCAAAACACTGTATTAAATTTATTCCTGGTTAACACCCTGATATATATATATATATATATATATATATATATTATATATAATATCTTTATATATATATAAATATATATATATTATATATATATATATATATATATATATATATATATATATATATATATATATATATATACATATATATATATATATTTACATTATATATACATATATATATATACATATATATATATATATATATATATATGTATATATAATGTATATTATGCGGTAGTGGTGTAGTGGTAGAGCGCTCGCTTCATAAACGAGTGGTTCCGAGTTCGATCCCCACCACGTCCCTGGTAGTACCGCGCTCAACTCGTTTCTCCGCGCAGCGGCCTTGTTTGTCAAGGTTCGTGTTATAGAGTTGAGAGAGGGTTATAGCCACAAAATATGTAGTGGCCTTCTCGGCCTTGAGGAGGTGAATTAAAATAAAAAAATTAAAAATATATATATATATATATATATATATATATATTTTATATATATATATATATATATATATATATATATATATATATATATATATATATATATATATATATATATATACATATATATATATATATATATATATATATATATATATATATATATATATATTTTATTTCAGCAATTTTATATATTCGACAAGTATACATTACAAAGGGAAAATAAAATAAAGAACAAAAATCTCATAACAGAAATTAACAGTTTGCTCTATATCATAAAAATAATAATATCATTAGCCTTTTAACTGGAATTTAAAGACAATTATCATTAGTCTGTATAAGCCAAATGATATTTACAGACTAATAATGCTACTAAAGTTGATTTTCTTTAAAAGCAATACACAAGACACATCAGTACAGAAAACGCTGTACCAAAGAAGAGAAAAGAGAGATTGAAAAATGTTGGAATGATGCAGCAATTTGTTCACTGATACAAAGAGAAAAGAGAGATTGAAAAATGTTGGAATGATGCAGCAATTTGTTCACTGATACAAAGAGAAAAGCGAGATTGAAAAATGTTGGAATGATGCAGCAATTTGTTCACTGATACAAAGAGAAAAGAGAGATTGAAAAATGTTGGAATGATGCAGCAATTTGTTCACTGATACAAAGAGAAAAGAGAGATTGAAAAATGTTGGAATGATGCAGCAATTTGTTCACTGATACAAAGAGAAAAGCGAGATTGAAAAATGTTGGAATGATGCAGCAATTTGTTCACTGATACAAAGAGAAAAGAGAGATTGAAAAATGTTGGAATGATGCAGCAATTTGTTCACTGATACAAAGAGAAAAGAGAGATTGAAAAATGTTGGAATGATGCAGCAATTTGTTCACGGATACAAAAAATAATGAGGATAAACAGAACATGTTGTTAACTGTTGATAAGATTCGGGGTACTTTTAGAACACATGTAAAATGTTCAAATAAATTTTCTAAAAGTAAATTTGTTGAAAACTTAAATTCTTTTGAAAAAAGTATGAAAAACAGGTTTAGAAAAAAGCAACAATAACTAATATTTTATGAATAAATTATTTCATACTTGTTCTGTTCTATAAAACTCCATTGCAGTAATGTGATCACCTTTAAGGATAACTTGCTTAGGTGACATAAATGGTAAAAATTCACACTTTTCTTTGCGTGCAAGCTCCATTTCTTCAGGTACAGCTCGAATATTAGTAAAACCTTTTCGAAATACCACATATACACGACGAGCACCACATCGAATTGCCGATGTACAGCAATCAAATGCTGTATCACCAGCTCCAAGAACAATAACATTTCCATGGAGTTGAGGAAGTTCTGATTTGCAGGAACACATACCTAGAGAACATTGTTGGAAAAACAAATATCAAATAAAGAAAATTTATTGAATAAGTCACAACCAAGATTAAAATAACATCATGTAGCTAGCTACTGAACATAACTGATTTAATATCATAAAAATGGCAAATCTGCAACCACACATTATATAACAAAAGAATAAGTTACACAAAACATAAAAATTACTAAACAAATTTTTGTAGTACAAAAATTTCTAAAAACTACCAGGTTTGCTTGCTTTTGAAACAAGTGGCAGAAAATGTTTAGAAGAATAAAATCCATTCTTTACAGTTAACCCTTCAAACTCTGGAATAATCTTTGGTTCAGGAAGACCTATTATATAATTATTAAAATACAGATTACATAAACTTTAAAGTTTTAACTAGATAGTAAATTTGTTACAAAAATAAATTAGTCAATTAATAAATTAATTCACCAATTCCCACAAAAATTGCTTTATAACCATCATTTTGTAAAGAACGAATTGTAAGACCAGCATTTTTACTCAAGCATTTTCCATGTTCAATCTACATAATACAAATATTGTTTTAGTGTTAAATAATCATAAGAACATCTAAAAATATACAGTTATACTGTAATGTATATATATATATATATATATATATATATATATATATATATATATATATATATATATGTTATATAACATATACATTACAGTTATACTGTAATGTATATATATATATATATATATATATATATATATATATATATATATATATATATATATATATATATATATATATATATATATATATATATGTCATATAATATATATATATGTTATATTATATTTATATATATATATATATATATATATATAGATATATATATGTCATATAATATATATATATGTTATATTATATTTATATATATATTAATATATATATATATATATATATATATATATATATATTATATAATATATATATATATATAAATATATTATGTTATATAATATATAAATATATATATATATATATATATATATATATATATATATATATATATATATATATATATATATATATAAATATATATATATATTAATTATATAACTTTTATTTAATCATTTATAATTTTTTTTTTCATTATACTATTTATTTTAAGTTCTTTTAAATAATTGTTCTAACAATAAACAGTGATCTGTGATTATGAAACAGTGTTATATAAAACAGTGTTATATAAAACAGTGTTCTTTGATATAGCAGTGTTCAAATGTTAAACAGTTATCTATCATAAGAAATAATTTTTTTCTTCCTAAAAATTCTTTCTATAATCAGAAATTTTTTATAAAGGTGAAATAACTTTCTTAGTTATATTATTTATTTTTTCTTTTTAATAGAAAATATAAAAATAATCACAGATCTAAAAATATGATTATAAAAAGAAAAAGAAAAAATATATGCAAAATAAAAAATAAATATTAACAAGTTTTGCATTTAAAATAATTAGTTTAAGATGTGTTAAAATAAAATGAAAGATTATGTTTAATAAAAACCAATTTCTTAATTTTTATTAGAGAAATTTTAATTCGATGTTGCAATCTAAATGTAACATTTTTACTCACATATTTGCCATTTAGCTTTGATTTATATATTTATATACACAAACACACACATATACACATTTTTTTTTTCAATTGCATTTTGTAAAAACTTGTAAGAGCTTTTTTTGAGTTAAGGGTTTTATTGGCGTCAGAGGTATTGGTAATAATTGGGAGGTAATTATTGACGTTGATGGTATTAAAGGTTAACTTATGCATCCTTAGATAGGGTTGTTGAACTTTTACCATGAAAAACATTGAACCAGACACTCTTTTCAATAAAGTGATATTTTTTTATCCAAATCAGCAAAAGTATTAGAAACATCTTCCTCAGTATATTTGGAGTTAATTTTCTCCCCAAGATTTTGACAAATAATTACATGACAAAACAAGAAATACTGTATCAAGTAAACAAACCTTGCTAAAACCCCTCTCGAATTAATGAGAAGACACCATTAATCATTAAAGTCTATTTTCAAGCTTTCCTTTTCTGATTTTACTTTTCTAATTTTGCTATCTTTAAGTCATTATTTTTAAACTCAATAGTATAAAGGTATTTACAAAATAAAATAAATTGATTGACATTGAAGATATTTTAAATGGAAGCTATTAAAAGTCTAATTCACTAAATGGAAGATTTTTTATGCAAAAAAAATCAAGTTAAAGCTATATAATTATATCACTATTTTTAGATATTGACATAATTTTTAGTTACTAGAAATTTTTAGTTACTACCACACCTAGGAATCCTTTAAATATTTTTTTAGGATTGAATTAGTATCATACATTTTTAATACAATTTTATAAGAACAATATATCAATTAATAAGAAGACTAACAACATTTTTTATGTATATGCACAAAAAAATTTATTAAAATTTTTTTTTTTTAAATGTCAGCAAATAAATAATTATAAAAAAGTATTTATATAATCAATTTAATAATGCAATAGTTGATCTCAATCATAATCCATAAACATCAAAACAATATTTATTGTAGAAAAAAAAAATATATAAATATATTTCCTACAATAAACATATTTATTTATACAAATTATAAAATATTATTATAATAAGTTTTATTTATTATTTACTTTAATGCCGAGGTCTTTCATTTGCTCAATTTCAAAGTTAACAACATCATAAGGTAAGCGATACTGTGGGATCTCAGAAGAGCTAAAATATCAGTTTTACAATGAAATTAAAAATTTCAAAAAATAAGAGAAATAGATTATCAATAATTATAAATTATTGTATATAACTGATTTATAATTATACTTACTGCTTTTTTATTATCGTATAAAACTCACCTTAATCCACCTTTAAATGCCTCCTTTTCAAAAATAGTGATATTTGAGTAACCAAGTCTTCCAAGAAAAGTAGCACAACTAATAGAAGCAGGTCCACATCCTAACAATGCTATCTATATTTATAAAAAATAAATTAAAATTATACAAAAAATTATTTTGATAAAAAAAAAAAAAATTTATTTTAAAGCTAATTTATTTTCATCAGATGGCCAATAAATATTTATATCAAATAACCAATCATATCAGACCAATTCTTGGTGTACGGCTAATGCAGGTTTCATGGTTAATATTTTGAACACAGTTACAAAATTAACCATGAAGCTGTGTTTCATGGTTAACATTGTAAATACAGATATTATGGTGTTTCAATATTTCATTACATTTTTTATATGCATATGTACTTTTACACTCTAATTTGTAATACTGATAAATGAGTAAAACCTTTACAATCATATATGTACAGATAAAATATTAAAACTCATAAGGGGCCATCCATAAAGGACGTCACCATTTTTTAGCCAATTTTTGACCCCCTCCTCCCCTTTGTCACAGGTTGTCCTTTTCCCCTATACCCCCCTTGAAAAGGACATCATAAAATCCTGAACCCCCCCCCTATTTTTAACTCAAAAAAAATTTATTTCATCTCGCAATGATGTTTGAATCTGCTGCTACACCTTTGAAAAATAAAATTAAAAATATTCTCATACATTATCTTCTTAAAAACACATGTTTACGTAGTTTCCCATGTTAATTAAACTAAAATAAAAAATCTATAAAGTGACGTCCTTTTCTGACAACCTCCCCCCTCCCTTTGTCCTTTTTTATCCTTTTTAACTCGACCCCCTCCCCCCTATTTGGATGACGTCCTTTATGGATGGCCCCTAATGTAGTAAAGTTCATGATTTTTTTCATGAAAATTTTGGTTGTGTTAATTAAATGTTAAATTATAAATTGTAACACAATCTTGTGTGAATCACAATTCAGTAAAGTTAATGCCAATGCTAATGATAATTGATGAAACACTTTTATCTAAACATCATAACCTTCATGATGATTGATAAAACACTTTTATCTAAACTTTATATCCTTTATGATGATTAATGAAACACTTTTATCTAAACATCATATCCTTCATAATGATTGATAAAACACTTATCTAAACTTCATATCCTTCATGACGATTAATGAAACACTTTCATCTAAACTTCATGATCAAAAATCTTTATTAGTTAAGTTTTATCCATTGAACATTAAAAAAAAAATTAAAAAAAAGTTTAAAAAAAAAAAATCATTCTTTTAAAAAACTCTTAAAAAAACAGTGCAAAAATAAAATAATAATAATTATGGTAATTCATTCAAAGATAAAAAAAGTGTTTTAAATTAGAAACTTAAATTTTCTTTAAAGTCATTATACAAAACATTACTCAATGACATGAAACCTTATAACTAGCAATATAAAAATATGAATAAAGAACCCATATATAGTTAAAGACATTTTTCAACAATTGCTGAGGTGTACCTCAGCATCAAGCTGAAAATTTGTTTCAATCAAGTCATAAACTTAAAACTAAGATTGATATTTAATATTACAAAATGAAAACAATATCCATATAAAAAAAAGGTACTTTATTCCTTGATTATATGACCCAAAGATTTGTAGAAACCACATCTTTGGGTAGTATAATCATGTAAATTTAGGTATTATAATGCAATCATATAAACCATTTGGGTAATATAATATAAGCAATTATATCTTTGGGTAATATAATATAACCACATCTGTAGATATTTCTCTTCAGCTAACAAAAAACTACATAAAAATTATTTTTATAGGCCATGTAACCTTCATCAAAAAGCATCACAAAAACAGAATCAACTTATTTTTGCAAATGATGCCATCGATTTATTGGAGTCACAAAACATCTATTATATTTTAAGTTTTAGAGAAAGAAGCTCAACCTATCATAGTCTTTTTGGCAATTCTGAAGTATTCTGTCTATGAGGTTAATAGAAAAAAAAAGTATTTTTTAACTCAGCACTACTTTTAGTACTGTCTTTAAAAATGGATCCTGAGGTGACAAAGCAATATGCAGAATAAACTTTGGTTTCTCAAGACAAAATAGCCTTTAATAATAATTATACATTTATAAAGCCTATAAGTTTCTTTGCAAAAAAAAAATTTATTTTGTTTATTGACAAAATGAATTTTCACTAAAATTTCAGGCATCATAAACTGCAAACTTTTTTTATTTTATTTATTTTTTTATTAAATTCACCTCCTCAAGGCCGAGAAGGCCACTACAGACGAGGAGGCTACTTATTTGTGGTTATAACCCTCTCTCAACTCTATAACTCCGAAACACGAACCTTGATAAACAAGGCTGCTGCGCGGAGAAATGAGTTCAGCGCGGTACTACCAGTGATGTGGTGGGGATCGAACTCGGAACCACTTGTTTATGAAGCAAGCGCTCTCCCACTACCACTACACCACTACCGCAAACTTATGATAAAGTAAAGAAAGAATTTAATACTTATGTTTTATTTTATCTTTTTATTGTATTACTGTTAACTTGAAAATTATTTATCAAATTTATATAAATTATTAAAAAAAAAAAAAAATTTAGTTGTAAACATATATACCTTTGATTTATAACTTTCTGGCAGCTGCTCGATTGGAGTAAGTTTTGGATCTCTGATTTGAGGAATTCTCATCTTCTTGAAAATCTTAAAAAATCACAAAGTTTAAATCAGATTTTTATTAATTAAAAGCTCTTTTTTAATTAATTTAACTAAAAAAAAAAATTATAAAAAAACTAGCTCAAAAACTTTTTCCTTAAAAATTTAGGTCTATACTTAAAAATGTTAAAGTTATAAAGAAAGGCTTCAGAATTAAGTCTCACAAATGCTTTTAAAACATTTTGTAAATTATCTGTTTTAAGGATACCACCCTTTATTTTTTGAGTGTAAAGTTTTTGATTACCCATTATAAATTGGTGATATTTGCAACAGACTAATGTATGGTACACAAATATTGTTAAAATTTAACAAAAAAAAACAAACAATTATTTGAATTAATAAAACTTTCTGCTGCATGTTTTAAAAGAAATAGACCTAGAGGCTATGCAGGAATCCCACTTGGGCCTATCGCTATTTATCCTAGAAGGGCCTTTTTTTTGAATTTTTATACCCTTTACTGCATTTTGAAAATGATTCACAAATGATATTTACTTGCTTTATTTTTTATTCCTCAAGTTAAATTCTTTAACAAATTTCTGATTCGAACTGTTGGACTTCAAGCGCATATATATATTAGTATTTTGCATAATAAAATGCAACCGTTTGTAACTTTTGCTGCAAATGAAAGTCGATATTAGAAAAAATAACTGATCGTCATGTCACTTAAATCGCTTACTATATCAGTTGTTATATAGATAAAAAGTTAGCCAATGATTATTATGAAATAGTTGTGTCCAATTTTAAATTATGAAAAAAAATATTCATATTGATGAAACTTTTGTTAAATTAGAACGATTAATTGTTTTTTCATAAACAAAAATCGTAACGTTTTTAAATATAAATAATTTGTGAGATTTTATAAAATTGCTCTTATTGTATGTTTTACAGATATTTAAAAAGTAGTTAAATATTTTTTCTATATATATACCAATAAATAAATAAAGCATTTTATTACTATTTGAAAGTATTCCGGATTCATTCATTTCAGGGACCGCAAATACGTTGAAACTAATATTTAACATTATAAACTTTAGTAACCACTTTTTTTTTCAAAGAACATAGTTGTAAAATCCGTTTTTTTTTTTAAGATTTGACATAGAATAGAAAATCATAAAAATTGTATACATTTAATTTAAACTTCAATTTGATAAGACTGTTAGGACTTCTTGGGGCACGTAAAAAAAAAAAAAAATTGTTGCACCGTTGTTTTTGTAACGCTAATAAACATTTCGTCTTGTACTAATAATTTTTTCTTTATAAATAATTTTTCACTACTTCTCTACAGCTCAGAGTGTTCCATATAGCACACATTATATCTACTATATAGTAGATATATATATATCTACCCTATAGTGTATATATATATATATATATATATATATATATATATATATATATATATATATATATATATATATATATATATATATTTAAATAAATATACAAATGTGGGTCTTCAAATCAAGCATATTTGGCAAAATCATAAATGAGTCTTTTTAAAAAAATTGTGCATGTACTTTTTGGAGCCAGCACGCCCCTGTCAAAACACATTTCCTTTAACTCATCTATGCATTCTAACATTCTCAGTATGTTTTCACTATTTAATTTTTCAGTAACTGTTAATAATATTAGACAATTTACTAAAGTTTTCACATTTAAAGGTTTTTACATTTTCTTAACAATTAAGGTTTTGCAAAGTGGATCAATAAAGTGGGCAAATATATACAAAGTGGACCAATAATATCAAAAGTTAGCTTTAGGAAAACTTTATATAGACATATTACATATCAAAATAGGAGATTTTGGGGCTGAGGAATTTATTTTTGAAGTCAAATTTAATTAAAGACTTAATAACTGGTGCGCTGCAAACTATTTACTAACTAGATCTTTTAAATTAATTATTTTTAAATTGAATTTTTTAAATTAAACTTTTTTTTGAAGAAACATCAAAATGATTTTAATGTCAGGTTTATTTTAATGATTTGAGGAATTTTAATGACTAGAAAATGAACATGACTATTTAACTAATTAGCATAAATTCTCACTAATGAAACAATCACTTGACAGCCACAGATCAGTACTTTGTGTATAACCTGAGACATGTATTACAAGCTGTTGTTTGAAAAACTGCTGGGTAGTGTTCCATCAACAAACTTGGAACCAATTAGGATTGATTTTCCTTGTTGGAAAACTAAATACAAAGAACCACACACAGAAAAAAAAAATTTAATTCAAAAATACTTAAATTATACTTTTGAAAATTTTTAGGTTTTATTTAATGGATATAAAACCTATTAAATTCAATTTTTATAAAAATTCAATTAACTTGAACCTTTGGATCTACAGACTTCTACCAGCACACCTTACTTATCCCATAGGGGCTTTTGGATCTTCTTACCTTACTCTCTATCATTCTCCTTTGATGTATCTACTCTTATCTCCCAGGTCTCCAGGTTTTCTTTATAATTGATGTATAAAAAATGGATGACAAATTGATAAATCTTTGTTCGTCAAGAACAAGTTGCATCCACAAATAGAGCAACTTTCACTTTATCATTTATAAAAATTGCATCACTCAAGTGACTAGGGCCCCCACCCCCATCACTTACTAAACTGATTTTTTATATCACTGCAATATTATGCTTGCAGCAATTTATAAAATAAATTTATGTATAATTTTGTAATTTTATGAATGGTATGAAAAATAAGGTCGGCAATTATTTGCTGACCTTAATCTTGTGAGGTCGGCATCCCGTCGACAGAAAATATGTAAAACAAAGGTTTGACCATAAAACATAAAAACGATGTCAGCAGTTGGGTCAGCATTGCCAAAGCCAATCCTAATTCCAAGGGCTGATGTATATATGTATATGTATAATATATATTTATGAGTGCTGTTTAAGTCAACAGTATAAGTAACAAAAAACTGAATAAGATGACGAATAATTAAGGGCGACAAAATTGCCTTGACTTTTTTTTTTTATAAATTTCTTTACATAACATACCGTGGAATAGCATCATAAAATAAATATAGTTAAAATTTATATAAAATAGGTTAGATTATATTAAACAAATAAAAATTTCTCAGTAACTAGAGAATTAAAGTTTAAAAGTATATATTTATCAAGTTAGAAAAAATAACGGTTAAGGTGACTCTTACTTTAATGTATTTTTAGCAATTTGTAATGTGTATGTATATATATATATATATATATATATATATATATATATATATATATATATATATATATATATATATATATATATTTAAACAAAACAATATTTACTTATTTTATCTTAAAAGATTTCAATATTATGTATTATTTTATTTATATAAATGTTTAACAACATTAACATATTTTCTATACTTAGTGTTGATATAATTTATGCAGAAGTTGACTTAACTTTAAAATTAAAGTCGACGGTTTTCATCCAAAGTTAAAATAAACAAGTTGCGCTTGATTGATTTTATAATATAGACTTGTAAAAGTGTATTATATGATAAAATTTATCCAAATCATACAAATAAATTAAAAAAAAAAGAAAAAAAGTGTAGACTTGAGCACTCTATTTTGTAGAATACATTTTTAAAATTGTTTAAATACATATATATATATATATATATATATATATATATATATATATATATATATATAATATATATAAACACACTAACAAACATAATAAAACAATAAACCTCTGTTGCAAATTGCTGTAAACCGCCTATGTTAATTGGTCCCTCTTCTGATGCATAAAGATTACAGCCTCCAACACAAAGGTCACTTGTAGGACATACCATTCCACAAGTTAAACCAAGAGGATTGTCACTAAAAATTGCCTTTGAAGCTCCATAGTAATTCTATATGACAAAATAATAATAATAAAAAAAGATGTTTTATTCAAATTTTATTAAAGTTTTATTCAAATATAATTACTAATACTTTAAATTATACTTTATATTATTATTAATACTATATATTATTATTCATTTGTGTTATTTTATTAAAATATTATTACCAAGTACTTTATAATCATTATTCATTTGTGTTATTAAAACAAATACAAGGCTATAATAGCTAATAATAGCTATTATTTGTTATTTTAACTTTGTATAATAGCTTGCATAATAGCTGCTATTATTATAAAAATAAAAATTCTGTTAATTATTAATATCACACTGCAACATTTACACTTTTATGAATTATATATATACTTCTTATCATATGCCTCCTTGGTCATACTTGTATCATATTTGGTCATACATGTGTCAATTGTCTTGTTTTATTGTAATAAATTTAATAATAAAACATTAAAAACCTATAGTTCAAATAAAAACTAATAGATCAAAAAATACATTAAATGCTGCAAATACATATGAATATTTTTTCAACATTTTCACTTCCAAGAAGACTGCAAGCAACCACTATTAGAGTTGGAAGTTACAGGAAGAGAAAAGATGAAGTTTATAAAACAAGATAACCATTAACAGATGACTTAATTCTTATCTTGTTTTCCAATTCATATAATTGCAAATTATATGAATTGGAAAACAAGATAAGAGAGCGCATTCCAAAGAATTGATGTTTAAGGAAAAAAACTAGATGATTAAGAATTTTTGGAGCACTTAGGAACAGTCACAGTAAAAGGGTGAGACTTAATTGAACATAGAGTAACACAAGAATGAATTTTAGTAGATGGCACAAGAGACGTTAGCTCTTTAGAGCAGTGTCCATTATAGTATTTATAGGAAAGAGAAAGAGAAGCAGCATTAGGATAATGTGATAATGGTTAAAGGTTGGCTACAAGAGCAGGTCCAACTATGTTTATAATACATTTTTACACCTTGTCTAAACAAGGCATCATTGGAAGATTTGCTCCAGATATGGCAGTATTACATACAAGGATGGATTTGAGATTTATAGAGATGAAGAATAAAATCCAGAGTAAGTAAGCGGCAAGCACGATAAAGAGATGCAACCTTAGCAGATGCTAATTTTGCAATTGTTTTAATATATGGTTTCCAAGAAAGATCAGATGTAAGAGTTAATTCTAGAAGATGAAGAATAAATGACACATTGAGTATATTATGTTTTACAAATATAGTAAAATCTAGATTATTGCAATAACAATTAGCTGAAAAAAATTCAGTTTTATCTGAATTAAAATTCACGAGCCACTGAGAGCCCATGCTGTAGCAGAAGTGAGATCCTTTTCAAGCTCAAATGCCTCCTGCAAGCAATCAGAGGGAGTTGGCTTCTTATCGTGACAAGAATAAATAGTAGTATCATCAGCGAACAATGCCACCTTAGATGTGAGACAATCTGGAAGATCGTTAATGTAAATTAAAAATAGTATAGGGCCAAGGATTGAACCTTGAGGAACCCCTGAGGTTACAGAATAAGAAAAAGAGTGTTGTCACCAGGGACAACCTTTATATTATGATTGGTAAGGAAGAATTCAATAATCTTAAAGATGTTACCTGATACACCGTAAGAAGAAAGCTTATGGAGAAGACCAGCATGCCAAATTTCATCAAATTCTTTAGAAATATCAAGAGCAATAGTCTTAACCTCTACCTCTAGATAATGCATGACAAAACCTATTGGTTATTACTGTTAGCAAATCAGCTGTAGAGCAAGAAGATCGAAACCCATATTAATGATCAGAAAGTAAGTTAGATTTAGTGCCAAATCCATTTTAGAAAGTATTAGATTCAAGATGGTAGATTAAATGTTTGATAAAGATTCAAAAACCTTGCTTATGACTAATGATAGACTAATGGAACAGAAGTTAGACGAGTCAGATTAGTCTCCAGAGTTTTTGAAAATAGGGAATAACAGATACCGCTTTCCAACAGGCTACAAATCAAGACTCTGATAAGCACTTGTTAAATAGTTTTGAAAGTATAAAAAACAGCTACAGAGAACACTTCTGCAAGACTATAATAGATATGTTGTTCAGACCACAAGCTGTAGAAGAGTATAAGCAGGAAATCACTTTAGATAAAGAAGCTAGAATGATACAAATGTCAAGCAATGGATCAACCTGTTTGTCGGCTATATCAGGTAGAATGCAAATAGTGGAATCAAGAGATAATATTGATGAAATGTTTTTAGCAAACAATTCAGCTTTGTTTTTAGGTGGTTATTACCACTAACTTACCACTGTTAAAACAGGTTAAAATTTTATGATTTTGGGATAATTTTTTTTTTGATTTTTTAGGACAAATTAGAGAGAAATTTAGGACATTTTGGGACAATCTAAAACAGGGTTGGCAAAAACCCTTTTTTTTTTTTTTAAATACCCAGCCCAGTGGGTTTTTTTGGGTAATATTTGGGTTTTTTTGGGTAATATTTGGGTTTTTTTGGGTTTTATTTTTATTTAGTCTCTGTAAAAAAATTTTTTTCATTTTGTTTAATGATATTGAAAATTATATTTATTTTATATTTTAACTTTATTTAAAATAGTCATAATTAAAAATATCAATGAGAAATGGGAAAAAGAAGGCTAGAGATTGGGAGGTAGTAACTGATATTTCAATTAAACTTTGAACTTGAAATTCAAAAGAACGAACCTGTTTCTCTGCACAGTGGCCTTGTTTATAAAGATTTGTTTTTAGGAGTTAAAGTGTTGAAAGAGAGTTGTAACCACAATATGGTAGCCACCTCGACTGTAGTTAAGATTAAAAAATCACAATCGATAAAAATATTTGAATAAAAATTGTAATAATATATTTCCAAATAATGATTCAAATATTAGTAAACCTGCTCTGATAGCTGTTATTGTTGGTTATAATAGTTAATAATAATAGTTAATAATAATTTAGTTAATAATAATAGTTAATAATCATTTTAGTTAATAATATTATAATTATAATGTTAAAGTTGGTTATAATAGTTCACAAACTTATTAAATATCTTTAAAAAAACCCAATAAAACACAGTTTTTAAACCCTGATCTAAAATCATAAATAAGTTTTTGGATTTAATTTTTTAAATTTAGGTTTGAGAATTATCAACCCATTAATTTCAATTATTAATAATATATTATTTACCCTTTAATACCCTTGGAAATTGTTTACGTTTATTTAAAGTAGACAAACAAAACACAATTAAATCAAAAAACTCTTGAACTTAATAATTACAACTCTTACATGTAAAATATCGGCAAATAAAAACTTATATCTGGAATACTAAACAAAATACCAAAGTTATACTTCTATTATGTGATCGATTTATAAAAGAGTAACAGAAACAAAATATAAAATTTTAATAAATTTTTCATTTTATAAAGTTAATATCATTCTACTGATGTTTTATTCCAAAGAAAAAAAAAACTCATTCTTTTAGAGTTAGAGTAGAGTTTGAATGTAAAATAAATAGAGTTTTAACATAATTCTAAATTGATTAAACTGACAGTTCTTTACTTCTTTTTTCTAATACATCTTGCTCATCAACATGCTCTTGTCTTCTTTTCATCTCTGTTTCAATTTTACACTGGGCTCGCTGCAATTCATTTTTTGTGCTGTTTTGAAGCAGACACTTCTTCAAATCACTATTTCCTTCAAAAACTAAATTGTCAGCAACTGGTAGACCATCTTTTATCTGCAAAAAAAAAAACAAAAAAAAAACAAAAAACATTTACTTCATGCATTAATAAAAAAAATCAAAATTGACAACTAATCACATCAGTAAAACAATCTTTATAAAGTGCAGTATAACTTACTTGTTGTAGTATAACTTACTTGTTCAAAACATGTTTTTTTGCCTCCTCAGATTCTTTAGTTTTTTTAAGCTTTTCTTCTTCCTCTTTCAACCTGCGTTTAGCTTCCAGGTCAGCTTTGTAACTTAAGTGAGCTAATTTAACTGATTGTGTAAAAGACTATTATGTTATGGGAATATCGAGTATGGATCCAAAGCTCAATATAATATCTTTTACAAACCTCAAAGCCTCAATTGTATCCGGATCAAGTGAAGTGCCATGTAACTGAACAATGTGTTTGTAAATTGAATCTCTGGGGCACTATTATCATGTGAAAAAAAAAAGCAAAAGTTTTTTCAGTATGAAGTTTGATATCTCCCAATAGAAACTAATTCTTCAGAACATTTATAATAGCATTCTGGAAGCAATTCCATTTGGTAAACGCACAATTAGTTTTGTACATTATCAAAAACCTTTTTTTGAAGGATCATTTTTTAAATTAACTGAATCCCTTTGGTAATTTAAATCTGGTAAATTAAATTTGAAATAACTTGCTTGATAAGACTAAAGACAATTTTGTCAAAAATTTTATTCGCTACATGAGACTTCTAGAAGTTCTGAAAAATGAGACTTGGCTTTGGTGCTAATATCAATTAACTTTAATGGTTAAATATTTTTAAAGTCAATTACATTAATCACCAGCAACTCATTAATAGATTTTATGGAATTTTTGCCATAATTATTAACATATAGATACATAAGTGCAGCAAAACGTTTTGACATTTTAGAGTAAATCAGGTGAATTCTTGGTTTAATTGATTGAAATGTTTTTAAAAATATTTCAAAGTAATTTTAGTAAAAACTTGTATCCAGTTAAACTCATACTGCCACAGTTTATTATATTTTGTTTTTCTTTAAGACACCTTATAAATAGTGATTTTGCCGGTTATCCGTTTCAAAAACCGGATAACAGTTCTCATCAATTTGCGGTTAACCGACTTTTCGGTAAATTAGTGACGCTTTCTGAATCCAGGATCTTCCAAATTTCAACGAACGTAGCGTTTTAAACTAATTATTTAAAAATTAATGTTAAAGTGTACATTTTCAAGACAGTTAGTGAATACAGTCCTATATTATATATTTATAACAAAACATGGA